CTGGCCAGGGCACTATATGGATTTTTTTAAAGTCAGTTTTTATTAAGAATATAAATTGATTATACAAATAGCATATTATAATGAGTGCTGTTGAACAAATAACTTTAAAATGGGCACCAACATATAAAAACATCTGAAATACATAATCTTCTCAGGCAGAATATGCTATATTAATACCTGTAAATCAATTAGTATTCAATGTCCATCAGATCATACATAGAATGAGCTTCACTATTATGATGTAACTCTTTGTTAAGAAACTATTCCATTGGTATTAAATTCATTGCATTAATAAAAGCCTTGGTAGATCAAAAATATAATTCTTCAGTTGTCAACTTTTTGGCTTAGCTCAAATTCATACTTGATGTCTTTTCTGTAAAAATGGATCTGGGCCCTTTAAATATTTTTCCTTTGCAGCTGACAGGATGTCAAGCCTTCTCAGTAGAGAGAGCTAGAGAGACACTGTAGGAAGACAGTCGTGTTCCTAACTCCATTGTGCTTACTTGGCAGGCTCCTCAGGATCCAGCTGCTCAGCAAAAGAGACTTCCCCCAGTTCCCAGCTTCTGCAGCAAGGGCAGCCTCTTCAAGGTCCAGCCCTCAGCAGACAAGGCTTCCCGAGTACTCAACTATTATAGAGCACAGCGGTCAGCGGCAGGCAGCCACCAGCAGTTCCCCAAAACAATCCCCTCTGGCAGTTTTGTAGTGGAATGCTCTTGGTAAGACACCTCCTTGAATAGACTCCTCCAGTAAGAGGCACAAGTTTCCAGTAAGGCCTGGATCTCAGTCCTGGGGAACAGAGGGGCTCTCCCTTCGGTGCTCTATCTAAACTACTCCTTATATCTTTTATTCCTATATTTTTTAAAGTTCTCTTTATTTCTTACTAGCCAATCTCTCATTATGCCAATCCCCTGTTACGGTTAACAGTTCTTATCTTAAACTTTTAAATTTTGCCTGTTTCAAATTATAGTGTGACTTCTTTCTCCTGATTGGACCCAGGCTGATGCAAACCCCCAGAAGCAAAACCAAAAACAAAACACACAATTTTAATGTAAGGCTACTTTCTTGGACACTTGATGAAAGCAGTAGTTTCCATGACAAAAAAATGTTTACTCATACAGAGAAGAAATACACACAGTATTTAAAGAAGAAATGATTTACACATTTGGGATTTAGATGGCTAAGAAAAATGAAAGCATATGAAGAGATTGTTCTTATACTTTTTTACTGATATAAACAGCTCAATTAATCATAATTATGCCTGTTTACTTTGTGATGAGCAAGACACATACATTTTTTATCTTAGGAGTGCCTTGCACTGCCCTTAAAATTGACTTAAATGATGAAGTCAGAGAGTCACAGACAACCAAATGAGTTACAAGCTCTCTTCCCTTCTTCAATGAAAACATTTCAAAACTTACTGTCATTTTTTAAAGGAAATATTTCTTTTTGAGATCTCTCTCTCCCTCCCTTTCTCTCTCTCTCATTCTCTCTGTCTCTACACATACACACACACACACACACACACACACACACAGGGTTCTCTGTTTCTCTAGAGAAGATTAACACACAGGGATTCAAACAGGTACTTGTACATCACCATTCACTGCAGCATTATTTACAAGAGCTAAAACATGGGAACAACCCAAGTGCCCATCAACAGAAGAATGGATACACCAATAGGTACACCTATTGGTTGGTCAAAAAATTCCTGTGGCTTTTTCCATAAAATAAAAGGCACGTTTTTCATTTTCACCAATAACTTTATTGATTTGGATATTTTGAGTATAATAGCTATCTCCCATGTGGTATAATGATTGTTCTCAATTAATGTCTCAATTTCATAGCTATCAATTTCAACTGATCTACCAGACAGTGGAGCATCATCCAGTGGGAAATCTCTAGCACAAAACTTCTCAAGCCCCTTTTGACCCATTCAAACCAGTCACAGCACCTTCTCCATACACTGCATGACTCTTTTTTGTGTGTGTTTCAGTTATGTTTTTCCTTTCTTGAAATAATAAAGCATAATATGTTGAAAATGTTGCTTATTTTCTTCTATTGCAAGAGATACTCAATTCTTCTTGCCAAAGCAGTAAAAAATTACAGATCAGCAAGTCTATTAGTCTGCAAGCAAAGTTTATTAGTGATACATCTTCATGGAAGAGAATGGGCCTTGCTGAGGTGGGGGAGAAGGGCATAGGGCATAGGTAAAATCAAGGCAAGGGTGACAAAAAGCATCAGGTCCTTTGTCCTGAGGACTTACATAGTTGGCAGTATGAAGTGAGTTACATATTGATTGGTGGGTAAAGGTGGTGCCAGCTTCCCCAGGATTATGTGGCTCCCTAAATGTAAGTATGTGTGGAGGGTTGTTAAAACAGATTCTTATCTTGCTCCAGACCAAGTTTGTTCATCTTGTAAAACAAAGAAATGACAGAAGTCAGTTAATGAAAGTTGAGGCAGTTACCCAAAGTTATTTGTGTACTCTTTCTGTAAGCACCAGGGACCCCCTCATTAAACAGATAGTGACAAGAGGTAGGCAATTGCTCAAGGCTGTTTTATGGGCTTCTTCTTTGGGCACTGTGGACCATTTCCTCTTCCCCTTCTAGACCATGGGATGAATACACAGTTTTAAAGGCTTTTTATCCCAGATAGTGGAAATGATACATAAGAACGTCAAGGGCTCCCCTACTCCTGTGCTATCATGGAGTTTCTTGTGATGTTTGGAACACTTGTCAATATTATGGGACCAGGCTGAGGACTGCTGAGTTAGTGGGTGAGACATGCTTCTCTCTTCCTCCCTGCCTTAGTTGACTATCTATCCTACCAAACACTTCCATCTTCAACATTAAAATGGCTATACAAACATTCACCAATTTAATGTATTTTTAATGCATGCTGATATGACAGCTGTCATAATACAATCTAACAAAATTGTTTCAAATAAAATTAAAGACAACTAAGTGCTACTAGAGCCACCTTAGGGAAAAACCAAATGAACTTTTTGGCCAACCCAATATATATATATATATATATATATATAATGGAATATTATTTGGCAATAAAAAGGAATGAAGTTCTGATATATCCTACAACAGGGATGAATGTAAACATTATACTAAATGAAAGAAGCCAGACATCAAAGGAAAAATATTATATGATTTTACTTATATGAAACATCTAGAATAAACTATAGATATTTCTTTAGTAAAAAATAAAAGATGTAAAGGTTAAGCATTTATTATTAAATATACCATGTTTTCCTGGAGAGAGAGGGAGATAGTGGCAGAGGGAGATGAAAGGATCCTTAACAGTCAAAGACAATGTGTAATCCTCTATTGGCTCTTGCTTTCTAAATAAAAAGCTATAAGATATTCTTAGGATCAGTGGGAAAGTTAAATAGTAGTGAAACATAAATAGGGACAGAACATTTGATGTTATCATAAAATTACTAACTTTCTTAGGTGTAATAATGCTATTGTTATGTAGAAGAATGTCTTATTCTTAGGAGATACATGCTTTAATGTTTAAAGATGATGTGTTATAATGTCTACAACTTACTTGCAAATAGTGATGCCAAAAAAGATTGTATGTGTGTTGGGGGTGTATGGGTGTGCCTTCCTGCTCCTGTGTAGCAAGGGAGAGGAAGAGAGAGAAAGCAAATGTAGCAAAACATTAACAGTTGTCAAATCTAGATAGAGAATATACAGGTATTCATTGTACTATTCTGTCATGTTTGTTTATTTAAACACTTTTATAATAAGTTAGAAACAAAATAAAAATTTTAAAGTCACATCACTTTACTTCCCAGAAATATTCCTGTTAACATGTTGCTTTAAATCCTTTTAACCTTTTTTTCTATGCATAGTTAAGTATTCCTTAAAAACAACAACAACAACATGGGGTCAAATGTACATTGGTACCTCTTCATTTATTGTCAAGTAAGTTAACAAATGTTTATTTAAAGCATATCCTCAACTAGCCAGGTACACAGTGAATTTTAAAAGATCTCTGAGTTTTCACTGAATGTACCAAGAGAATTGCACCTTATTACAACCATAGTTTGTAAAAAATCATGTAAAAGAAGATAGATTAGAAAACTGTGAACTTTTAGTAACTGCATTGTAATCCAGGGGCATCCTCATGAAATATAGTTCAGTTGTTGTTGGCATTTTTTATTTTTGCTGTTCATTCATTGCAGAAATATTTGCTGTCTATACTGCTCAGTGCTTTGTGCTGTGGCTATAGTGTTGTCTGCCTCTCTGAAGCTCACTCTGACACAGGATCTTACTGAAAGGACAGTCACCATGGGTTCCTAATTTACCCACCAGTGGGTTCCAGAGGAGTTTAAATTGAGATTTGAAGGATGAATAGGAGTTAGATTCGCATAACACTAGATTGGATCATGGTCTAGGGTTAAATTGCTTGATAGTCTGTGACCTTGGGCGAGTTATTTAACTTCTCTCTGCCTCAAGAATAATGTTGTAAAACTTAAATAATAGACATAAGGCACTTAATCCATGTCTGGCACGTAAGAGCTAAATTTATTGAGCACTTGTAGTTGTTGCTGCTATTTAAAAAGAGCTACTATGTGGTAGGCTTCGTGCTGAGGTCACAACAAGAAATAAGACATAACCTGTACCCTCCCTATTAGTTTCTTCCCAGTAGCTCTCTATTTTATAGTAAAATAAGCCTCTCTTCTGAATATAAAATGTAGAAAATGTAAATGTCTTAAAAACATTTTTTTGTTTTCACTATTTTTGCCACCTCCACGTGAGTTGAGACACTTTACTGAAGGCGTCAACTCTGGGGGCATAAATTCCCAGGAACAGAGGTCTCTACCATCCAAATGTCCAACCAGCAACATCAAGCTTGGTGGAAAAAGCCTGTCACCTCTGCAGCCCCAGGACCTCACCCATTAACAAACCCAGCTCTGATTGGTCCTTTCTCCTACCTAGCCGGCACTCGCTATCCAATCGGCATAAAGCTTGTTGATCCACGGCGGCAACCGACGCACACAAGGGGCTTGAGAGTCCTGAGAGAGCGGGGTCAGGCCATGAACTTGGGGTAAGCTGGAACGTGAAAGGTGGGCGTCACCGGAGAGGGGGTGAGGCTGAGTCTGCCCTGGGTTATGTTTCGCCAAGAACCTTCCGGGCCTACGGCGCTCGAAGTGGCAGTATCAGGCACCCCGAGGTGGAGGAGGCAAGGGCTGGGTCGGCTTTACCACCCACCACTGCCCTCGGTTTTCCACTTCATTACCAGAATTAAAACTGGCGTTACCTCCTTCCCGCCCCCTCTTTTACCTCTGGGTGGAGAGGGAGGGAAAGCGTGGAGGACTGAAGATAAAGGGGGAGGGCAGGTGGAGAGATGAAGCTTAGTGGTATTGCAGGGGGGAAATCGTGGCCCAGGCCCCTGGCTCTTAGCGACCCTGTCCTTTGGAATCTTCAATGTCCCGGCTCCTAGAGGAGTTTAATGTCTGCGGTGCGGGGAACCGAGGCTTCCCAGGGAATCCCTGTATTACCAGTGTGGGCACATTACTGGCCCTCATTCAGTAGTGGTTGAGTAAATGAAAAGGATTCTTGCCTGGTTTTCATTATGGATATATTTAATATTTTAAGATGATGATGCCCTCCCTGGCTGGTGTGGTTCAGTGGATTGAGCGCTGGTCAAGGGTCGGTGGTTCGGTTCCCAGTCAGGGCATATGCCAGGTTTGCGGGCCAGGTCCCTTGTAGGGGGCGCTTGGGGTGAGGTGGGAGACAACCACACATTAATGTTTCTCTCCGTCTCTTTCTCCCTTCCTTCTCCTCCCTAAAAATAAATAAATAAAATCTTTTTTAAAAAGATGATGAAGCCCTGGCTGGCGTACCTCAGTGGATTGAGCCCGAACTGGGAACCAAAGTGTCCCAGGTTCGATTCCCAGCCAGGGTACATGCCTGGGTTGCAGGCCATAACCCCCAGCAACCGCACATTGATGTTTCTCTATCTCCCTCCCTTCCCCTCTAAAAATAAACAAATAAAATCTTTAAAAAAAAAAAAGATGATGAAAAGTCACCAAACTCAGACTACTGCACATCCTTTAGCAACTAGATTTTATGTTTTGGAGTTTGGGGATAGAAAAATAAGAGTCGGCCCTGAAGAAATTTACAGTGCAGTCCCTTAAGACCCATTTATTCCCCAGTGTTTTATCTTAGTAAATACATTGAGGTAATTTGATTTCCCTTACTTTAGCAAAACCTCGTATTTCGTGTTCCTAATCAGACCTTCCCCAACCTCTCTTCTTGGCCCGCTGGATTTAATTTTGTCTTCTGGAAGTCACTTTTGTCCCACCTTAAAAATAACATTAGTTGACTTTGTAGATTATTTTTGTTTTTAGAGGAGTTTTTATTAGGACCATAACAGATGTACAAGTTTATTAGCAGTGTCTGTTACTTTGTGCTCCTTGATTTGACATGCACAAATAAAAAGTATAGCAGCTGTAGTATATGTAAATTTGTTGTAGTAGCAGAAGTGTCAATAAATGTGAATATGTATTAGTTGAAATATTCAAAATAGAATGGAACTCTATTTGTGAACAATCCTGGTGGCAATGTTATAGCTCATTTTCAGATAATGCTCTAGCATGCTATAAAATGTGTTAGTAATGAGATCATTGTAAAATTGATAAATTGTAGGTAGATATGTTTTGCACCTTTAACTTAAGTGAGGAGTATTGGTAACAGCATTATTTTTTCCAGTCTACAACTTAAATGATAGTGTAATAATTAATTAATTTGTTGCTTACCAGTAACAAATAAAGTTTCAGGTTAAAGATAACAAATTTTTTGTGCTATTGGAAAGTTTCAAGAATGTTCTCTCTGTAGTTTCTACTTTTATGTTGAATTGAAAAATGTTTTTAATTATAAGAATGGTTTAGTATTTACAAGATTCCTGTATAATTTTAAAAGAACAGATTTATTTTCTAGGTTCAAGTGAGCATTTTCGGCTATTTAAAATGTTGCTGTTTCTTACGACTTTCTTTTATTTTGCAGAGATGGTTTAAAGCTAGAAACTGAATTATTAGATGGAAAAACCAAGCTAATATTATCTCCATATGGTATGCTGTGTTACTGGAATCTAAAATGTTAACTTTTTAAATTCCTACATAAAATGTGTACTAGTTTAACAGACTTTTTGCTTATGATAGAGTGATATTTAAATGGCACTTTGAAAAAAGCTCTTTACCCTAACTTCCTCAAATTTATTTTTACCAGTGATTATATCACTGCTTACCACTGTCAGTATTCATAAAATTTAGTGTTCCGATATATGTCATGTGTTATATATCTCTTTATTATATTTGCATATAACAACCTTACTGCCTAATGAATACTCTAGGTGAAAATATAATTATGTTCTGTACATGTAAGAATGCGTTGTTTGAGAAATTAAATTTATAGTAAGACTACAGTTGCTCAAGTCATTTTTAGTATTACTTTTATTTTATTATTTTAGAATTAGTTTTAAAACTCGGAGTAAAATTGCTAGTCTTCTCATTCACATTATTTTCTTTGTCCCTGATCCCTTTATCATTTTACCTTGGAAAATAAACAAAAATGAAATAGAAATACTTGATCCATACTGTAAAACAACACTTAACACTTTGGGGGTTAATATTTCTACTTAATATCTTAAACATGCTGATTTTAAAAGTTTTTTTGTAACTGCTTTAGTATATTTTCAGTTGATAGCTTAGTAATTTTTTTTTTCTTTTGTAGAATGTAAATCAAAAATTTCTGTGAAGGTAAGCCAAATAAATGACTTTGACCTGACCTATTTTCAAATATAAAATATGGTTTTCTTTACAGTGATTTGAAAGTAATTTGTGTCAAAATATTATAAGGGGTTAGGAGTGTTGGTGAGTAGTTATTGTTCCCTTGCTTTCAGCTGGTCCTTTCACAGAAATGGAATCATAATATTTCCGTTGTAAAAACCTTTTAGAACCCTTCTCTCTAGATCAGTGCTGTCTAATAAAGCTTATACAATAATAGGAATTTTCTAAAATTAGTGCTATCCAATATTGTAGCCAGCCACTAGTCACATGTGGTTATGAGCATTTAAAATGTGGCTAGTGTGACCAAGGAGTGAATTATTAATTTTATTTAATTTTAAATTTAAATTCAATAGCTACTGTAATGGACAGTGCAGTTCACAAGATGTTTAAAAATAGATATTCAGATTTTAAAACAAAAATATTTTTCTGTTCCTTCTCATTTCATTTTTTTTAAATTTTAGTTTTAAATTACAGTTGACATTCAGTATTGTCTTATATTAGTTTTAGGTAATTAAACAATCATAAACTTCACAAAGTGTTACCCCTAATATTTTTCAGTACCCACCTGGCACCATACATAGGTATTACAATATTATTGACTATGTTCCCTATGCTGTACTTTATATCCCCAGAGTCATGCCATTTTTCCTCACCAAAAGGGTGTAATTTGATTCACAAGTTCCTACATGCATTTAACATTCTCCTTTAAGAGATCACACCTGAACTTTATGAAAATTTTCCTTTTAAGTTCTTTCTTTTCATTTTTTTTAAAGGAAATTTACTGAATACCTACTCTATTCTACTCATGGTACTGGGAATATAGCAGTGGACGAAGCAGACAAAAATCTCTGCCTTGTGGAGTTAACATTAGAAAGGGGTAGAATGGGCAGACAATAAGAAAACTAAATATAGAATATTACAAGATGAAAAGTGCTATAGAGAAAAATAAAGGAGAGAAAGGGAAGAGGCACAGTCATTTCAGAGGTGCAGCAGCCTTGGGAAAAGGGAGTAGTAGGGAGGTATGGAAGCAAAGGTAGAGCAGGAAACCTGCAGTTTTAGATAGGGTGGTAAGAAAAGACTTCAGTGAGCTGTCCATACTGGAGCAAAGATTTGAAGGAGGTGAGTGAATGAGCCACGTAGAATCTGAAGAAGAAAGTCCCAGGTAGAGGAATTGACTTGTGCTAAGGCCTAAAATTGGAGGTTCTTGTTGAATTTAAGGAATAATCAAGAAGTCCAGGTACCTGGAGGCTAAGAGATAGAAAATGAAATTAGAGATCAGTTAATGGAGACAAATGGGAGGGTGCCCCAATCATTAGGTCTTTTTTGGTCAGAGTGAGGAGTTCAGCTTTTCTTACAAGTAAGATGGGAACCTATTGGACACTTTTGAAGAAAGTGACATGATCTGACTTAACATATGTATTAAAATAATTACTGTGGCTGTTGTGTTAAGAATAGACTGGAGCAAGGGTAGAAGCAGAAAAACCAGTTAGAAGGCCTTTCAGTAATTTAGGCAAGAGGTGTAGTGACTTAGAGCGGATGGGTGATGAGATATTCAAGATTAGGGTCAGATTCAGGATATAGTTTGAAGATGGAGCAAAACACGTTTTGATAACAAGTTGAATGAAGCATATGAGAGAAGATTCAAGGATAATTCCAAAAATTTTGGCATGAGTAACTGAGATGGGAAAGACTGAGGAGAGGTAGTTAATTATTTAAGGATAAGAGGGAGAACAGGAGTTCAGTTTTGGACATGCTGAGTTAGAAGTATCTATTAGGAACCCAGTGGAAGTTTTGCATAGGCAGATGGAAACTGGATTTAGGGGAGAGATACATTCTGAAGACAAGTTTAGACATCATCATATGGATAATATGTAGAGCCAGAAGAGTAATAAAATTGTCAAATGAATGAGAGAATTTAAAGAAGAGATATTGGAACTGAGCTCTAGGCACTCCAACTTTAAGAGGTCTGGGAGAATAGGAGGAGCCACTAAAGACTGACAAAGAACAGTGAGAAGAACCAGGATTGTGGGGTCTTGGAAGTGAAGCAGAAAAAATGTTTCAAATGGAAGGAATTATCAACTGTGTTAGATATTGCTAATAGGTCTAGTAAAATGAGGATTTGAGAATTGATCGTTGAATTTAGCAATGTACGAATTATTAGTGACCTTGATGAGCAGTTTTGGTGGGGTGGTTGGGTGAAAGCTTTGTTGGAATGGGATTATAGGAGAAAAGAGGAGAAAGTGGGATCAGGAATATTTTAAGATGGTAAAAAAGATGTGAACCAGCAGGAAAAAAATGGTGATGATTCAGAACAAAGCAGAAGGTTGCTACAGAGAGGTCCTTAAGAAAGGGTTATGGGAATGTGTACTAGTAACAGGAGGGCAAGCAGTTTATATGAATACAGATACTGGTACAGATTTGGTGGAAGATACTTGAAGTTTTTTCTTAATGCCTCCCTGTAAGATTTTTAGTAAAATATTAATCAAAGTCTTAAGCTGAGAGTAAGTATGAAAGAAAGTGTTAGGGGCTAGGGGAAAGTTGAGATTGTTGCTAAGAGAATGAGAGTAAATGAACTTTAGAAACATGACTGCCAGGTAACATGAAGAGCTTATTTATTGTTCTTGGGTATGTATATAAGGTGAAACCAGATGTTGTGACTGTATGTTTTTCTCCTTGCATGCAGGCTCAGAGTAGGTGAAATGTTTACCAGGTTTCGGGTTTGCCAAGTGTACGTGCCATAGAACAGAGGAGTTGAGAATGGAAGATGGTGATAATATTATTTGATCGTGGAATTTAAGATTGGTAAGGGAGGATATGAGGACAAGAAGAAGGTGGTAGGATCAACAGATTATAGATCCCAGCAGAGTTAGAGAATTGTTGGGATATATGAGAAAGTTAAGATGGAAAAAATAAGAGGTGGTAGTCACATGCAGTTCTTGAAATTGAGATTATGGAGGGATTGCAGTTATGAGTAGTTACAAGGTCAGTGTAAGGTATCACTATGGGAATGTGTAACTGAGGTATCATGGAGGATAAGAGCATAGGAGCAGAGATCAAGGAAATGAGAGCTCAGGTATTGAAAGAATAACCTATGTGGATATGAAAGCACTGATAATTAAGACAGCAGTTGGTTAGAGGGATGATGACCCGCAAGCTAAGTTACTCAAAGAATAAAGGCCGGTAACCCATGGGACTATAGATGCCTATAAAGAAGAGAAGTAGTGTGGGTGATGTAATGATGAGATTCAGTGCTGGAATAGGATAGCAATGTCCTGTAAGAACTAGAATAAAACTTCTTCTGTATTCTACATTATCCTGAATAAAATAATAATTTTCAGTTGTGAATAAAGCTTTCAAGTAAAGCTTTGCAAAGGTTAAATGTTAGTTTCTTATAGATGCATTAACAAAATGGGAAGAAGTTTAGAGGCCTGTTTTATTGCAGATTATATAAAGGTAATTGAGTGTTTTTCATGGGCTATTATAAAGAAAAGATTTTTGGTGTCTTAACAGATGGGAAATAAGACCAAGACTGGAAAACGTCCTTTTAGAGCAAAGCAAACTGGATACATTCTAAAGTCAACACAAAATACTTGTATCAGGAATGAGAAACTTTTGCAAAAGAAGAGGATTAGTTCAGAAACTTCACTGGTAAAGGGTGAAAAAAATAGTATGGCTTTTTCACTCACTAAGGATTTATGCAAGGAGTATGCTGATAAAGACTGTCTTCATATCCAGAAAGAGATTTCTCCTGCAACCTCTAATATACAGAAGACTAGAAACACCATAAATACGTCTCTAGTAACTAAACAGAAGCCTTGCAAAAAATACATCACAGGTGAAAATATGAAGAGTAGTTTTGTATGTCTAACACAAGACCAACTACAACAGATTTTGATGACTGTAAACCAAGGAAATAGATCTATTTTGCTGACTGAGAATGGGAAGGAGGAGGAAACAAGTAAGACTTTCTAAGACTTTCTAAATTAATTAATATTAATTTCATTGATATAAAGTATTTAGAATTTTCATTGGATTTTACGTAACTTTGCCTCTTAAATTCTATTTTAACATGTAACAATGTTTAAAAATAATTATTCTTTTAAAGAACACTCATATGCAGAATACATTTATAATTATAATATGCATATATTATAACATAATATGCATATGTTAAGGTTAATGGCCAGAATTGTTCTCATATACCATAGCCTTAAGAAACTCAGTTTTCCTCAGGTGAGCACTTCCACATTGTCTTTGCCAGAAGAAAATGTGGTGCAGAGTGACTCCAGACAACTTGTTGACTTGTATCCTGAAATTAAACTATCTTGGCTGGCCACAAGTGCATAAGTTAGAAATAAATGTTTATTTTCTCATGTTATGGGGGTAAAAAAGAAACCCAGTTTTCTGTGGACTCTGGAAAAGACGTTATTACAAAACACTGTTATACTTATTAGAAGGTAGGAGACTTTACTTACATTAATATGTAGTGTTCTAAAAAGTTACTATAGTATTTCTAGTGAAAATTGAGAGAACCTAACTATGAAGATTTGATTTGATTGCTGAAAATGTTGATTTTCTTGGCCCCCACATTTTGCTTCTCCTAATTCTCAATCCATACTAAGGATTGGCAGCACTATCTTTTTAAAAAAAGGAATAGTAGAACGTTACATGCCTTCTGTTTCACTAGTCATAGTTATATTGTTTTTAAAGTTTTGCATCTCATTTCAGCTTTGAGATAAGGAATTGTGAATATGAGTAGAAATATTAAAACTTTGTGAGGCAGTAGTGAAATATTCAATAATAAAAATAAAAGTAACAGTTATGAGAAAGATGCCCCGTAACAGATTTGGAGACCAGGTAGCTCTTATATATGTACTCCAAAGGTGTGGAAATGGAGTTATTTACCTTCTTTTGGTCTAGGTTACTCTTTGTAAAATGAGAGAGCTAGATTTTGTCTTTAAGTCTAGAATTCTAGCTCAGAGAACAAATATAAAAACTTAGTAGGGATAATGAGAGAGAATATCAACAAAGTTAAAAGAATTTGCCTAATCATATAGTGACCTGCATATTAGATATCTTTCTTTTCATTAGGAGAACTAGCACATTAAGGAGCAATTAGAATAATTTTTGAGCCAAGTAGATAAGCCCCATATTTGGAATAGATATCATAAATAGCTAGGGCACAGAGACAGCGGTCCATGGTAAAGTTTTTCCCTGATTTCCCAGCTAAGTGAGAAAAATAAGGATGAGGTAATGAGTTTTTCATAAAGCTACTTGCTTTTATTTTCAATAAAGTGGTGAATTTGTTTTCATTTATATTATTTGTAAAAGTGTGGTTGGTAGGAGTAAGTGGAGGTATACTTTTTTTGTTGTTGCTTGATGTTTGATAAAGTAATTTGTATAGTTTTGGCCATACTGCTAGGCCTTTTTACCTCTGTTACTCAGTTTCCTTTTTTTTTTGACAAAAAGGGAATTATAATACCCGCTACCAGGACTGCTGTGAGAAGTAATTAATTAGGTAATGTGTAAGGTAGTGTTTTTTAAACTGTAGCAGTATGCCAAAATAAGGTATTGTAATAAATGTAATTTTATTATTAATTTTAAAGTATGCATTTTACCTCCTAGGTCAGTACAGTCTACATTTAAACAGTATTCCTAATCAGCCAAAGGATGAGAACATTATGGGACTACTACAAAAAACTGAGGCTATTTCACATGTCTGGGATGAAAATAAATCTGTTTTAAATAAAAATCAGGAGACATCTAAGCAGCCTGAGCAGAAAATTCCCATGTATGTAACTCATATCTGTTATTGTGGGGTCATTGTGTGAATATGGTTTTGCTTTTCCTTGACTTTCTTGTGACATATTTACTCTGAAGACTAAGAGCTAGTTAAAAGTTTATTAATATTTATGGAGTATGTTGTGTAGAAACCTACACCGTATTTTCCTGTGTATAAAGGGCACTTTTTTGCCCAAGTTTTTTAGGGAAAATGAAGAATGCACATTATACATGGGTATTATGATTACGTACCATGGTTGTAATAATGGGCATAATAATCCCATGTATAATGTGCACAAAAATGTGGGTATGCATGTACATGGTAAAATATAGTAATAAGGTTTCTGTTATTTTTTGTGTTTTGTCTCAGTGAGAGTGTATGGAAACCAGCTGACATATTCAGTACCCTGGGGGAAAGAGAACGTGATAGAAGTTTGTTGGAAGCAAAAAAAGCCCAGTGGAGGAAAGAGCTTGGTAAGTAATTATTATGACTTTTATTATAATTTAGTTGCTTTATGGAATATATATTGAGTATGAACTATATTTTTTAGTATAATGTTATCAAAAGTCTTGCTTTATAACAGTTGCCATCTAGAGTAGTTCTCTGTAAATGCATAAGATTTGTGGTTACACATTCACTTAGATTGTATTTTTTTGTTTGGCACTCTGTGGTATGTACCAAAGCCAGAGGAGAGCATTAATGTTATCAGAATCGTTCTGGAGCTCCTGGATCTCAAAGATTCCTAAACTTTTCTCATTTCTTGAGAATCTATTATCATATTTTTCTATTACAGAAATCCTATGAAGAAGGTTTTTTTTTAAAAAATAGAGAGCCCTGGCTGGTGTGGCTCAGTGCATTGAGTGTTTGCCTGAGAACCAAAGGGTCTCTGGTTTGATCCCCAGTCAGGGCACATGCCTGGGTTGCAGGTCAGGTCCCCAGTAACAGGCGTGCAACCACACGTTGATGTTTCTCTCCCTTTCTTTCTCCCTCCCTTACCCCCTCTCTAAAAATAAATAAATAAAAATCTTTAAAAAAATAAGAGTTCATTTTTAAATACTCAGTGTTCTAATGGAGAATTATCAATATTAGTATATTCCATACAAAAGCAAGCTTTGTTGCTTTTTGTCAGCCTATAGATACCATACAATAGAAAAATTTATAATTTCTGTTAGGGTAATAATAACTAAGAAACTCCCATTACTTCTTGGACTAGACTTATCGTCCAGAGTTTGGAAAACATGTGAAGTAACAGTTCTACTTCTTAGGAATAGCTGTACTAAACATGAAGATGGGCTTCACCCTCCTGTGAGGCAATCATGCTGGGACAGGACAGGTGATCTAGAAAAAGATAAGCAGAAGAAGTAGGGAATGAAATGATATTAGAAGTGAAAGTAACAGAGGAATGAAGAAATTAAATGTATTGTAGTAGAGTCAGCAGATTTGGAGATCTGATATGTGTTTATAGCATAATTTCAGCTTTAAGTATTTTCTTGTAATACAAATTTAGCTTATCAAAATGCAATACAAAACTTCTGAAGTAAGTTGGAACCACTTTGAAATGACCGAGCATTTTATGCTTTAATTATTATCTTAAAAACACAATTTACATTCTTTTACTTGATAATGTTAGAAAAACACATCTTTCTATGTTAAAACTAAGCTTTCATTCTTGGAATTTAAATTTATATATCTGAAGTTTTAAGAACTATTGATTTGGGGGTCTTGTTTGTTTATATCTGTTAGACACAGGATTTTACATTTTTTACTTTTCCACAGCTATGAATAGCAATGGCTGACACTTATTAAATATTTATTTTGTGCTAGGCCCTATACTAAAATACACACTATTATCACTTGCTTTTGACAGAAGAACGAACAGGTTTACAGGGGTGAATAACAGTTTGCCCATAGTTACATAGCTGGGAAATGGTTGAACTTGGATTTGATCCCCATGGTTCTCTTTGAGTCCAGAGTTCTAGCTTTTAAGTCTCTTAGTAGTAATTGAACAAACATTATAGGAAATTAGAACCTGAGAATAATTAGCATAATATATGTTGTTCTGAAAGAATTTCTTTTTATTGATAATTGTAATAAAACATTTTTACATCCATTTGCGTGCCCTACTTAAACTTGGTTCTGATTAAATGATTCCATACCCCTTAAATTTTTTTCTTCTGGCTTGTGAGTTAATCTCCTCCCTATAAAACAATTTTCATCTGTGTTGGAATCTGCACTCTTTAAGAAGGTCATGATTTGCCCTGGCTGGTGTGGCTCAGTGCATCGAGTGCTGGCCTGTGAACCAAAGGTTCACTGATTCGATTCCCAGCTGGGGGCACATGCCTGAGTTGCAGGCCAGGTCTGTGGTGGGGGGCACATGAGAGGCTACCACACATTGATGTTTCTTTCCCCTTCTTTCTCCCTCCCTTCCCCTCTCTAAAAATAAATAAATAAAATCTTTAAATGGATATGATTTGTTTAAGTGACTTTTTAATAGTTTTTGTACATTTTTTAAAAAAGGATATTATTTGCAGATGAACAGGTTGCTTTAAAGAAGAAAGAAAAAGAAGCTCCTGAAAAATGGAATAATCCTTGGAAAAAATCTGAAAGTGATATAGTATGGGAAAATCTTCAAATTCTTGACCAGTCTAAGGTAAGAATTTCAAAATCAAGCATTTATGGAATATAAATGGCTTAACCCACTGAGCCATACCAGCTGGGACTTAATTGCTGTTTTTTAATGCTAACTATATTCATATCATAAAATTTATATTTAAAGCATATCTATTTTTAAAAAAACTTTTCATATGATATTTGAAAACATTGTTATTTTGAATTTATTTATGACCTCAACTAATATCTGTTTGCATTCTTTAAATTGTCTTACTATATTAGTAGGTATGTGTAGAGGCCCCAGGTAACACCATTAGGCTCCTATAAAAGAACTCTGCAATTTTTTATATGACCACAAAATTCTATCACTGACCATGTGGTATCCACCATAAGGTTATCAAGTCAAACATAAGTATGTACCAGGTGTCCCTCAGGTCTTGGTGTGGTGACTTAAATTTTGCCTGTGTTTTATGTAAGATGAAGAAAGTGTGCCCTTGTTTTTCTATTTGTTTTTAGACTTTTCCTAGTGTTTCCAGCATTCTGTCACAGTCTTCCAGTCAGGTAGCAGTGGTCCAGGCTGATGGTCACTCATTATCTAGAGCTGGTCAGATTTTAGAGGTGAGTCCTAAGTGTCATTACTTTGAAAATATAAATATTTATATATTTATATAAATATATAAATATATATATATTTAGTACTGGATCACTGTGTAACCTATTTTTCTTGAAGAAGTGAGTGTAAGTACCTTTATTTTTAATTATCAGTTAATTTTTACTGAGTGCATTGTGCTCCTTAAATTTAAAAAAAGTTATTGTTTCTTTTTTACATATAATCCCGGCTTCCTAGTGAATATTTACATGTTAGCAAATATATTCTGAAAATAAGTAGGCTAAAGGGATGATTCTAAGTGTAGACATTTTCATTCAGTCCTGGTAGATTTTCTTAAAGAATCCCTCCAGATTAGATTGCTTGCATGGCTATTTGTTCTGTTCCATACAGGGTTGACTTACCTATATCAGTTTTGTAGTCTGTTGATAATTTTACATTAGCCAAAGGAATGGTGTCTGAATTATAGTCCCACATTTCCAAAAGCACTTTGACTCTTTTTTAAAAAATATATTTTATTGATTATGCTATTACAGTTGTCCCATTTTCCCCCCTTCAATCCCCTTCACCCTGCACACCCTCTCTCACCCACATTCCCTCACTTTAGTTCATGTCTGTGTGTCGTAAGTTCTTTAGCTTCTACATTTCTCATACTATTCTTGCCCTCCCCCTGTCTATTTTCTACCTACCATCTATGCTACTTATTCTCTGTACCTTTTCCCCCTCTCTCCTCCCCCCATTCCCCTGTTGCTAACCTTCTATGTGACCTCCATTTCTATGGTTCTGTTCCTGTTCTAGTTGTTTGCTTAGTTTGTTTTTGTTTTTGTTTCAGGCATGGTTGTTAATAATTGTGAGTTTGCTGTCATTTTACTATGCATGTTTTTTATCTTCTTTTTCTAGATAAGTCCTTTTAACATATAAAATAAGGGCTTGGTGATGATGAACTCCTTTAACTTGACCTTATCTGAGAAGCACTTTATCTGCCCTTCCATTCTAAATGAAAGCTTTGCTGGACAGAGCAATCTTGGATGTAGGTCCTTGCCTTTCATGATTTGGAATACTTCTTTCCAGCCCCTTCTTGCCTATAAGGTCTCTTGAGAAATCAGCTGACAGTCTGATGGGAACTCCTTTGTAGGTAACTGTCTTCTTATCTCTTGCTGCTTCTAGAATTCTCTCCTTCATTTTTACCTTGGCTAATGTAATTATGATGTGCCTTGGTGTATTCCTCCTTGGGTCCAACTTCTTTGGGACTCTCTGAGCTTCCTGGACTTCCTGGAAGTCTATTTCCTTTGCCATATTGGGGAAGTTCTCCTTCATTATTTGTTCAAACAACTTTTCCACTTGTTGCTTTTCCTCTTCTCCTTCTGGTAACCCTATGATTCAGATGTTGGAACATTTAAAGATGTCCTGGATGTTCTTAAGCCTCTCCTCATTTTTTTGAATTCTTATTTCTTCATTCTTTTCTGTTTGGTTGTTCCTTTCTTCCTTTTGATCCACTCCATTGATTTGAGTTCTAGTTTTCTTTCCATCACTATTGGTTTTCTGTACATTTTCCTTTATCTCACATAGCGTAGCCTTTGTTTTTTCATCTAATTTGTGACTGAATTCAACCAATTCTGTGAGCATCCTGATCACCAGTGCTTTGAACTGTGCATCTGATAGGTTGGCTATCTCTTCATCGCTTAGTTGTATTTGCTGTGGAGCTTTGATCTGTTCTTCTGTTTGGGCTGGGTTGTTTTTTTTTTTCTTTTTTTGGTCTTGACACACATGTTATGTAGTGAGGGGCAGTACCTTAGGTGTTCACCAGGGCAGGGCAACCCAGTCACTAGGCTGTGATGCTGTATATGGGGCAGGGATCAGAGAGGGAACAATGGCGCTTGCTCTGCTCTCTGTCATATTTCAGTCCCTTCTGCCACTTCCCCCAAGCAAACTGGGCCCTTCTGTTACTGATTCCCATGTGGGTGGACTTGTGTATGTTCTAGGACCCTGTGGGTCTCTGTGAACTCTCCTGAGAGGCTGGGAGTCTCTCCCGGCACCTCAGTCCCCACAGGTGTTTTCAATTGGTGTTTTGAGGCTTTATTTCCCGGAGCTGGAGCCCTGGGTTGCTTAGTCTGTCTCGCTCCCCAGTTTCGCCTTGTTTATCTGCACTCAAATATAGGACCAGCCAGCCAGCTGTCTTGTGCACCTCACTGGGTCTGCCTGCTTCCACCCCACGCCCGGGGTCTGCCAGCTGCTGCCTGCGTGCCCAGGGCCTGCCCACTGCTGCCTTGTGTGCTGGGGGTCCACAAGCCACCTCTTTTTTTGCCACAACCCCTCTCTGCCCAGCCGCTGACTCCGCCCCTCCTACCAGTCTGGATGAATGTGTCTGTTTTAACTCCTTTGTTGTCAGACTTCCGTACAGTTCAATTTTCTGTCAGTTCTGGTTGTTTTTTTGTTTCTAAATTTTTATTGTCCTTATTTTGTTTGTGCGAATAGGCACAGTGTGTCTACCTACACCTCCATCTTGGCTGGAAATTCCAGCACTTTGACTCTTAAAAGGCAGTAAATTAGTTTTGATATATATAATTTTGGGAAAATATTTATTTCTGGGTGAAAATTTTAAATGTGTAATGTTTAGAAGTTGATACATGTAGACACTACTAAAAACCACTAAAACTATTCATGAAGTTGGTGAGAATCAGCTTATTTACTTTTCAACATTAGAATTGAAGAATTGCTAATGTTAAAATATTAAGTATTTTCATTTACCAAAATTTAGGTTGAAATGTTAGTATATCATTTAGTATTGTTTAATTTGCATGGTTTTTAGGTCATTTATTACCTGGGAGTAACCTATACTATGATATGGGCAAATAAAGAATTTACAATTTGAGGTGACTTAATTTTTAAACAAAGAAATGATGATTTGTATATTTTTTTTAATGAAAGCATGTGTCTTTTTCAAGAATCCAAGAACTGTAAAGTATTTTTATTTTGGAGTCAGAGATGGGGGTTGGGGATGGCAGAAGGACTAGAAAACAAACACATACTAAATCCAGGGCTGAACAACCAAAGGTTAAAGAGTATGATTATCTACTTATTCTTTTACTATTTAAATGCAGTTTTTATGTATTTGTGTATGATTGTGGTAAGACACTGGAAAGATGCTATTGAGGGAAAATGAATTGTGTTAAAAAAAAATCCCCCTTCTTAAATTCCTATAAGCGGTTGGGTTTAGAAATCTCAGCCATAGCCAGGACTATTTATACCACTTGAATATTAAGTTATAATTTCATTTAATTGAGAAAAGGAGAAGTTTGGTTGTAGGCAGAATCACCAAGATCAATTTTGTTAGAATGTGAGGGGTAATGCATGTAAAGTGCTTAGAACAGTGGCTGACAAATAGCAAGTGCTTATGAAGGTATCAAACAAATTCAAAAAGAGTATGGAGGCTTTGGCTAGAAATAAATGATCAAGATTTATTCATGGGTCTTAGGCTTTGCAAAATGAAAACACCAGGTAACTCCCCAGAAGTGTTCCGAAGAAGAAAGAAAAGTTAAGAGTTCTTATAGTAAAAATACATTCTCGAGAAAATCAGTTCTACGTTAGCCCTAGGATGGTCCATAGTTATCACTCAGGTGTCAGGCAGTCTGGATAGTATGGAGAATGGTGCGAGGAAGTTGAGTCACATCTGGTGGTCTAGATAGTGGATGTCAAGTGGTCTGTATACATGAGTCCTTGAGGGGGTAATTAGAGGGTTATCTGGAAGTCTGATGTATATCCAGGCATTGATGCAGGACTGGAAAGTTTAAAAGTTTAAGTTCTCATGCTAGTTAAAACAAGGGATGAAGAAGGATGTTTCTTCATCCCTTAACCTACTTGATTTTAGTCTACTACTATAGACTCTTATTTCTTCACTGTGTTCCTCCAAGATTTGCTGTAGTCATAGTTTACAAAGCAGGTCCATTTAGAACTCTGAGGCTGTTCAGGGTCAATTCTCTTAACAGGTTTCTTTCCTCTCGCCCCTTGATTTTTATTCTCCCTACCCAGTTGAATGATGTATTCTCATCTCTATATTGTTCAACCAAACAGTCTTTTACATAGTGCAGCTTAAAATTCCTTTTGTGTTTCTAAGAAATTTACTTACAGCCTCAGCCTTTTTGAGAATAACTTACCTTCATAAAACTTGTTTTTCCCTAATGATTACCCCTTCCTGAGAAGTCTTTTAAGTGTAGGATGTATATTCTAATGTACTCTCTAACATGAGGTAGAATGTGAGTCATTCTCCTCACTTCATATTGCTCATTTCATATGGCTACCACCAAACCATAGCTCTTCAGTTGGTCAACAAAAAATTCCATCTAATTTTTTCCTTTTTATTTTGTTTACCTTTTATTGTATAAAATATATATAACATTTTTATAATTTCAATCACTTTAGTAAAGTTCAGTGGTATTAACTATATTTACATTGTCACACAACCATCACCACTGTCCATCTTCTGATTTTTTTCATCATCCCAGATTGAAAGTACCCATTAAACAATAACTCCCCATTTCTCTCTCTACCTAGCCTCTGGCAATACCCATTGTACTTTGTGTCTCTATGAATTTGAATTCTAGGTACCTTTAAGTAGAATCACACAATATTCTTTTGTGTCTGACTATTTCACTTAGCATAATGTTTTTAGGGTTTGTCTAAACTGTAGCATGTATCAGAATTTCATTTCTTTTTAAGGTTGAATAATATTCCATTGTACGTGTTAATACTGCATTTTGTTTCTCCTTCCATTCAAATGTTAGTGGATATTCGAGTTGTTACCACTTTTTTGCTATTAGGAATATTACTGCTATAAACATTGGTATACATATAATCTCTGAGTCTCTGTTTTCAGTTCTTTTGGGTATATCCCTATAAGTGGAATTACTGGATCATATGCTAATTTTATGGTTAACTTTTATGTTACATTTTTACCAATTTTAATTTGGCAATTTTATGTTACTGTTTTTCACAGTTGCTGCACCATTTTACA